CTCTCTTGTGTTTCTCCTTCCCAGAATCCTCCTGGACTCCTAGTCCCACCTATCTAGATTCCTACTAGCCAGCAGTGCTTTATTGACAAATAACAGGACTTCCCACAGCACATGAGTTTGTAGGTTTTCTGCAATTTGTGTTGTTGTTGAATTCTAATTTTGAAGCATGGTGGTCTGATAAGATGCATGGAGTTATTCCAATTGTTTTGTAGCTGCTGAAGTTTGATATGTTGCCAACTATGTGGTCGATTTTTGAGTAGGTTCCATGTGGTGGTGAGAAGAAGGTATATTCTTTTCTATGTGGATGAAATGTTCTATAGATGTCTGTTTATCCCAGTTGGGTCATTACTTCTATTAGACTCTGATTCTTTGTTGAGTTTCTGTCTGGTATTCCTGTCTAGTGGTAAGAGTGGGGTGTTGAGTTCTCCAACTATATGTGTGTGGGGATTTATATGTGATTTAAGTTTTAGTAATGTTACTTTTCAAATGTGAATGCCTTTATACTTGGGTTATAGATATTCAGGATAGACATTTCATCTTGCTGGTTTTCCCCTGTGATGAGTATGTAATGACTTCCTTCATCTCTTTTGATTGATTTTATTTTAAAATCTAATTTGTTAGATATTAGGATTGCTACCCCTACTTGTTTCTTTTGTCCACTTGATTGGAAAATTTTTTCCCAACCTTTAACTCTCAGGTAATATCTGTCTTTGAGGGTGAGGTATGTTTCTTGTATGTAGAAGAATGATTGGTTCTGCCTTCTAATCCATTCTGCTAGTGTGTGTCATTTTATGAGTGAGTTAAGGCCATTAATATTGAGGGATATTAATGACTATTGATCGCTCATTTTTGCTTTAACATAGTCAAATTATCTAAACAGAACAAATATCAAGTAAGAAAATAGTTACTATATTTTGTCCATTAACATTTAGCAAGATTTAAAGAAAGTAACATCTATCCTATATTTGTGAGTCTAAAGTCTTAAATGTAACTTATATTTTATCATAATTATGGAAAACCATAATTAAAACTATCTGCCTTCAACTCCATCACAGACCACAGAATGGTAATATATAAACACTAGGATTGACAGAGACATCTTGCTACCCGAACAATCACCCAAATTTCTGCAGTAATGTTGTGGCATCCATCTTCAGCCCACAGGCAACAGTGTATCTGAAAGACTTCTTAGCAAAGCAGGAAATTTCAAACTCTCCATCTGCATTGGCAGTCTGTCAGTCATATTTCTATGATTCCATTAATCAGGAAACCTGAAGGACTGTTTGAGTTCAGCAGGCACTTTCCTGTGGGTCCTGCATGTACTGTTTATACAGCAACAGTCTTGCCCAAATGGCTAATCTTGCCATGTTGTATGCAAACTCCATAATGAGTTTCTTCGATGCCCATCTTCCTCTCAGACTTAATTGATGTGCCTGGAGCAGACATTTCTCATTTTCAAGTAAAACCCTAAACCATTTTAAATGCCATTTTTTGAAGGTCTTTTAAAGTTTTGAAGACTGTCTATCTATCTCAAATATATTTCTGTATATCGAGAAAACCTAAATTACCTTACTATAAGTTCTGACTATTATAAGAAACTATCTATAATCAGTATATGCACAATACTTAATCAAGAGGAAAATATACACATCTCAATACTGACCTTGAATTTGTATCAATAAAGGAAAAACCATACAAATACAAAGTATTCATTTCCATACCATAATTCATCCCTTACCTTAAAATGAAAACAAAGATTTCTAAACAATATGGGAATTTGGATGTCACTCATTCCAAACTGTTTCCTGGTGGATGGGGGCGCTTTTCATACCATGGAGATCATGACAAATCTCAGAAAGTTTGGCAAAGTGCTTGTTTTTTGTAGTCCTTAAGGCTGAATCATCTCAGCTGTTTCAGATGCCAGATCACCTGGGTCACTGCTTCTGGGGGTCTTGGTTCACCAAACCGCAGTAGCCTGGAAGGAATCCTCAGCTTTCCATTTTCTGTGGAATAATTCCCAAATGCTACGAAGATTCCAATGGAAGGTGCTACGTTAAGGTATGTTAAATAGCCTAACTTTGTGTCAACATTTTGTGTGTAATCCTCTAGAAATAATTCATAAGCAATTTCCACATTTGTTAATACATCATTATATGGATAACATATTACTGTCTGATTCAAATAAGGATACTTTGGAAAAGGTGTTTGAAGCAGTAAAGGAAACTTTGCCTTGCTGGGGATTACAAATTGTCCCAGAAAAAAGCACAAAGAGGATATTCTATTAATTATTTAGCTTATAAAATAGACTCTCAGAAAATTAGACCACAGAAAGTACAGATAAGAAAAGATCGTTATCAGACTCTTAATGATCTTAAAAAACTATTAGGAGAAATCTCTTAATTACAGACAATTATTGGTATAGAAGGGCCCAATTTAAAACATCTGAAAATGGCTTTAAAAGGAGAAAAAGACCTAAATCTCCCATGAGTACTATCAGCTGAGGCTGAAAAGGAATTAGAATGGGTAGAAAAGAGAATATTAGAAGCACATGCGGACCGTGTAGATTCAAATCTGAACTGTATTCTAGTTATTTTACCATCTAGAGAATACCCCTCAGGAATTTTAACACAGAGAGAAGACATCATATTAGAATGGGCATTTCTGCCACATAAACAAAATAAAAAACTGAATATTTATATAGAAAAGATCTCAGATTTGATATTAAAAGGTAAGTTATGGCTTCGTCAGCTGAATGGAAAAGACCCATTTGAAATTATTGTACCTTTAACTAATGAGGAAATTTCCTCCTTGTGGAAGAATAATGAGTATTGGCAAATAGCTTGCAGTGACTTTTTGGGAACTACTAATAACAACTACCCAAAACAGAGAGAATCAAATTCATAAAGAAAACTATTTGGATTCTTCCACATATCGTGAGACAAACACCTATTTCTGGAGTTCTTACCTTCTACATGGATGCAAACAAATCAGATCAGGCAGGGTATAAATCAGGAAATATAAGTAAAGTAGTTCAAAGCACTTACAACTCCATATGAAAGGCAGAGTTATATGCCACTCTCATGGTACTTAAAGATTACAGAGCTTCACAATATAGTTATGGACTCTCAGTATGCAGAGAGAGTTGTCTTGCACATTGTGACTGTAGAATTTGTTCCTTGTGGCACAGAATTAACCCCATTGTTTTTATAATTACTGGAAACTATCAGAAACAGGACTCATCATATATATATATATATATATATATATATATATATATATATATATCTCACAAATTAGATCCCATACAGGTCTGCCCGGTCTTCTGGCACAAGGCAATGATGCCATTGATTGTTTATAATTAAGTAACATGTTGGAAGCTTCAGAATATTATAAGAAACACCATGTTAACAGGAAAGGTTTAAAGGATTTTTCTATCACCTGGCAACAAGCCAAAGATATAGTAAAAAATTACCCCACCTGCTCATTCTACAATCAAACTATGTTACCAGGAGGTTGTAATCCCAAAGATATTCACAAAAATGAACTTTGGCAAATAGATGTATTTCACTTCCCAGAATTTGGCAATTTGAAATATCTACGCCATACCATAGACACATTCTCAGGCTTCCAATGGGCTACTGCCCTCAGCGCTGAAAAAACTGATTCTGTTATTTCAAACCTCTTAGAGGTGATGGCTGTTATGGGTATACCTGCATTAATAAAAACTGACAATGCTCCAGCATATGTCTCCAGTAAATTGGAACAATTTTTCAAATATTATAACACATGTAACTGGTATATCTTAAAATCTCACTTCTGACACCATTTGTTAAATGCATCCTTTCTTCCAGCCTGGTTCCAGAGCCACATCAGTCCCACATGAACATACAGGAGGCTATATTAATTATGAAGCTGCTGGCTATTTGCTTGGTTTCTTATTGGCTATCTCTGACTTCAGTATTTTCTCCATAATTGTTAATCTAAGTATTTCTCTTACCGGAGAAAGGGTCCAGACCTTTTACTCCTCTGGAGGCTACATTGTAACTTTCTGTGTTTCTCTTTCCCAGAATCCTCCTCAAATCCTAGTGCCACCTATCTTGTTTTCCTATTGGACTACAGTGCTTTATTCAACAACCAATAACAGACAGATTTGAGAATGACATCTCGCATCAGAATAGGGTGTCTGATACCATGGAACTAGAGTAGCTTCTAACCAAATATGGGTGTCAGGAAGTGAACATGGGTCCTTCACAAGAAAAAGAAGTATTCCTAACTGCTGAGCCATCTATTTTTTTGAAATAGAAAAACATACTTTGTATTTTCCCCTTCCCTTTATTTCTCCTTGCAACCCACCCCAACTACACAATGACTTTCCCATTCTCTGATGCATTTCACAGAAAATTAGCACAGAACATTCACACACACAGTAATTATAAGGAGTGTTTTTGTTCTCTACACACAGGCATATGTGAATTCATTTTTACTCAGATCTAAGGTCAGGAATACTAGTGCTTGAAGATAGCTTCTGTGTATGCTACATTTGCCCCACAACTTATAAAATCAGCATGAAAGCCCACCTCCTCTCTTAGTCTATGGAAACTTAGGTGTCATTTTCAAAGCAGCTGTTTTAGAGACTAAAACAGAAATGGATCAGTCTCTGCACCCACCCTAAATCACTCCTTTTAACACTCCTCAGGAAGACAATATTCCAGAACATCCATTGTCTTGGAGGAAGTAACAATACAGTCCATCTATGATATAATTCTTAAAATTCCTACTATGAAAAAGTGCCATGGCATTTCATGAATTAGACCAACTGGTGTACTGTAGTAGTCCCATCTCTTAGGAGTAAGAAGCAGGGGTTCCTCAAATTCAAGGTGATTGTCCACTACAATTTTGAAGCCAGTCACAATTCTATGAGACATATATTTTATAAGGAAAAACATCTGATTTTTGAAGTAATAAATATTGACGGCAATATATTAAACACAATTTCAAAATTAATAGAGTAGACAGTTTATTGTTTCAAACACAAATATGTAATTCACATTTGAGTTACATCAGATAAAACCATGCAGATTGGATGAAGTATTAGCCAAGAACACATTTACTATACATAACCTTTGAAACAGTCTAACCACATGCATGATTAGATATGACATTGGTCAAAATTATGGCAAGATCATCCAACATAAATCCATTCCATAGCTTATGATAAAGTGTAGGTTATTTTGTGTACCTTAGTAAATATGGTATATTTTGGTATATTTCTTCAGTGGTTACCTGGCTTTAATATTCCTCTCCATTGGATAGTTTTCACAATGCAGGAAGGTACTACACAACTGTTGGAAAAGAAGACATCAGTAATCTTGCCAGTTATAGACCCAATAAGTTAGAGGTATGATGATATACTGGCAAGATGTACTCAACAGTGCAATGGTGCTATGCCTGTTGCATGGATTACCAACTGCTTTATCATTGGATTAGTGACTAACTCTGTCAGATGTAACCTATGATTTATGCTATAAACTTGGTACAAAGTCCATGCCTGGGAAAATCATAGGTCTTTAAAGACTATCTGGTATGGTTGTTTTGTATCCCTGGGTTCACTGCAGTTATAGTTGCCTGAACCAAAACAAGTGAGCAAGGGTGGAACTGCCAACATTAATCATTCATAGCAGATGAGCTGATGAGACCCTAGCCCTCACTGAAGGAGTATGGGCTGAAATGTGTAGGGGAATGGGCATCAAGTTATTAAATGATGTGACCTATAACATATTTCTTAAAATAATAGAACCCCAAGTTTAGTCATCACAAACAACCTCAGTGGTAAGGAAAAAAAGTGGAGACTTGTCATAGTGAAGTGTTTGAGTGGTCAGACAGAGGGAGAAATGAGAAATGTTATTTAGCTAGAAAAGTCCTACAGCTTACTATACGTGATTGTGAAATTGTCATAGTTTAAGATAGAAAAAGTAAATTTTGAGAAATTTTCATTGTCAAAAGATAGGAAGCTTATCTAATTTTGCTGAAAAAAATTTTAAAATACGTGAAACATTTTTAGAGAGCCTATGCTTTTTCTTTCGCAGAAACAGAGATTAATTCTCATAAAATGTCTCTTCATTATTTCTTGTGATTCATGCTTATGAAATCATATCTCATAGTCTGAATCTATTTCATAGGATGTTCCCTGAATTATGGTCCTAGGTTGTATGAATTAATGAGCTTGCATAAAGACATAATCAACCACAAAACTTTACCTGTTGAAATACAATTATAACATTGGCTAAAATCTTAATTCTGGTACCCACTCTCTAATTATAAATGTACAGGAAAATGTTTGTGAAAAATATTGTAAAATTATCAGTATTGCTATGACTAGAAGGTATCCACAACACATATATCTGGGACATACATCACTAATTAATTGTGAACAGGAAAAATAGTCAATTGTTATTGGTAAAAAGTATATTAACAAGTGACTAGTTCTTAGGGTCAAGATGTTCTTTATGTTTAAGAAATTATTTTCAATTCAGTGATATAGCTTAATGAGTATCTATTTGTTGCAAAACAATGAAACCCTGAGCTCCAAAACCCAACATCGCATAAAGTCTAGGTTCAACCACACACATTTATAAGGCCAGGATTTGTATATGCAAACATGAAGATAAAAGTGGCACTCTGTTGAGATATTCTAGCCAAAAAGAAAAAGAAACATTAAGCCAGAGATCCTATCTCAAATAAGTAAAAACGAAGAGTGATATATGAGGAATCCACAATCAACTATCACCTCGTTTAACCCCCCATAATCTGTACCACACACACATACACACACACACACACACACACACACACACACACACACACACACAGAGTAATTCTCAAATTATAAATAGGGTAGGAAACAAAATTGCACAAGCACCTAATTTAAAATTATTTTTCCTTTCTATTTGTTTTTGAGACAGACACTCACAAAGTAGCATTGGCTGTCTTGAAGCTTGCTACTTAGACCAGGCTTGGCTCAGCTAGAGAACTCACCAGATTCCATATTCCAGGCACTAGGTATAGAGACACAATTTATCCCACTCCACCAACTTTAAAATTTTAATCATGTTTACAAATTTGTCTTGTCACTGGTTAGTTTTACCATATGATACAGCATCCTTGATGATGGCCCTCTTACTTCAGGCATGAACATTTATTATTTCAATGTACTTCTACTTGTAGAATCATCAAAGAATACTCAGATTTCTTTCTTTACTAAGCTAAAATTACCTCTATAATAATTGTCCATTTCCAAGCCCCTGTTCAAAAATTTACATACCTTTCACTGGTAAACAATCTTTTCATTTATTTATTTAATTTTTATTTAAATTAAAAACAATCTTATTTTACAAATCAATTCCCTTTCCCTCTCATCATTTTATTCTCCCTATAATGTCCCCATCTCACCACCCAAACATTCCTGTCCCACACCCCAGTGTATCTAAGCTAAGACAGTATCCCTCCAAATGGAATGGCCTCCCAAAGCCCATTAATGCACTTGGGATGAATGGTAATTCCACTACCAGAGGCCCCACAGACTGCCCAATTCTCCCCACATTAAAGGGGTACAATTCAGTCTTAAGTTGGTTCCCCACCTGCCAGACTGGGATCCATGAGCTTCCCACTTGCTCCAGTCAGCTATTTCTATGGGTATCCCAGCATGGTCTTAACCTCTCTAGTGATAGCAGTATATATGCAACCCTAACCCTAACACACACACACACACACACACACACACACACACACACACACACACACACACACACACACACATATATATATATATATATATATATATATATAATCACAGTGGCTGCTTCCTTGGTAGGTTTTGCTATGGTCTACATCACTCAGGGAAGGCAGCTGTTACCGTGCTGACAGAAATGACTTCCAACATCTTCAGGCTCCAGATTGTTGATGATAACAGAGAATTCTGTCCCTGATCCACTACCAGTTCACCTTGAGAGGCTCCCAGAGATGGAAAAGGAACTGTACTAGATGAGAAGCCTTGGAGCCTGATTTGATTATAACAATGTTTGTAATAAACATGAAGAACAGTTTATATTAAAGAGTTGTTCACCCACTATAATGTAAGCATAGAGAAATTAGCAACTAAGAAGTAAAACAGTGAGCTCTCAGCTCTCATCTTTGTGGGTCAGGAGCAAATTATATGCTAAAGGTTCAGACAGTAATTTATATCCACTTCCAACAATTTTAAGAGCATTGAATCAATCATTTCCTCTGTCCATCCATGCTGAGATTTTCTCTGGGTTGTAGTATATGTGAGGAATATTCTAATTAAAACAATGCAGCCAGCTTGGCTGTGGTGATGCACGCCTTTTCAGGAGGCAGGGGTAGGCGGATCTCTGTGAGTTCGAGGCCGGGATGGCCTGACAGCCTCCAAAACAATACAGAGAAACCCTATCTCATAAAACCAAAAAAAAAAAAAAAATACAGCCATTGAAGCTTATGCATTGTGAAACTGAAACTGGCTAAAGAGAAATCAAAGGCAAGAGAGTTATCTGGGTTTCTTCTTCCCACTTCTACTTGTAAACCACAAGACTGTCTGCATCTACAAAACACTTTGAAGAAGTTGGTAGCACAATCAGAGGCAGATGAAGCAGCCCAGCCTCACATTTCTGCTTCCCTGGTGGTTTTTGCTATGGTCTGCATCACTGTGGGAGGATAGCTGTAACTCTGTTGACAGTAGTAAATGGCAAAATCTTCTGACTCCACATTGTTTATGCTGAGTGTGAAATCTGTTCCAGATCCACTGCCACTGAACCGAGAGGGTATCCCAGTGATGGACTGGGAAGCATACTTGATGAAAAGCCTTGGAGCCTCACTTGACTTTTGCTGGTACCAGTGTAAGCTCGTGCTAATATCCTGGCTGGCCTTGCACGTTATGGTGGCACTACTGCCTGGAGTCACAGACAGAGTGGCTGGAGACTGAGTCAGCACAATGTCACCTCTGGAGGCTGAAAACATATAAGAAACACTAGATCACAATATTGAATATGAAAATCACGTCTGAGCTACCTAGGAAAATAAAAGATTAGTTTATTATTTCATTTTCTTTAAGCAGGACATCAAGTTATATGTAATGCTGGGCTTCCAAATGAAATAAGATAATTCTGCATTTAAATAGCATCTCCACTTTTTGCCATGTCCAGTCATACCTGATACCCAGAAGAGCAGAAGCCCAAGGAGCTGATATGAGGACATCATCTTCCGTCTTTCCCTGAGTCTATATGGACAATGCCACAGTCCAGAAAAATGACCTTTTTATAATAATCAGAGAGGCAGTAACATTAGAAAGACAGAATGTTTATGCAAATAATTCTGGCTTCATTTTTTAAAATAAATATCTGCTCAAAAGAGAAAGCTCTTGTGTCTTCTTGGCATCTGTCTCCCCCTTCTGGTTACCTGATGAGATATTGAGACTGAAAGAGACACATGCATGTATGTCACACACATGGGTGCCAACTTAGGAAAGTCTAAGGAAGTTTCTGGAATAGATTCAGTATTTTTAAAGGTAGAGCATCTCAAATCTGTTTTCACGGCCCAGGGTTATGCTTTTTTCCTTGATGTTTCTTTTGAAATGGGGTGAAGCATTTATGTCTTTAAACATTCTAAAAAGTATCACAACATGTAATACTGGAGAGTTACCATATTAATTATATATATTAGACTAGAAGTTAGAAAGTCCGGATGTCTTAGGAAGACATACTTCTTCAGTAAGAAGAATGGAAACTATATAAAAATTTACTGTCTGTCACAGTAAAGAAGAATTTCAGATGTCAAGATACCAAAGTATTCATTTAGCACTTCCGAGATAAAAGGCAAACATTAAATCTTGCATATGTCACCTTCAAGAGAGATGCAGAGTGTTGGTAAAGCATTTTTGGAGAGTTGTAATTTCTTACTAAGTACATGAATTTTCATACTACATAAAAGAAAACAATTCTGATAAATTTTAAATCAGGAGAGAAAATTTCATCAGCTCCATTTAAAAAAAAGACCTATTTATTTCACTTTTATGTTTGGGTTAAATGTTCTATAAATATCCATTAGGGTCATTTAGTTCATTAAATCTTTTATTAATGACAATATTTCTATTTTGTTTTTGTTCAAATGATCTATTTGTAAGGGTCAGATATTAACGTCTCCCACTGTCAGTATGTGAGAATCAATACTGGATTTAAACTGCATTCCTGTTTATTTCATGAACCTGGATACCATTGTGTTAGGTGAATAGGTCTTAAAATTTACAATGTCCTCTTTATGAGTTAGTATTATCAATCCCTATCTCTACTGATCAGTTTTAGTTTCCAGTGTAATTTTTCATATAATAAAATGATTATACCAGATTGCTTCTTATGTTCATTTGTTTGGAATGTCTTTTTCCATTCTTTTACCCTCATGTATTATATATCCTTAATATTAAGATGTATTTCTTTTTTTATTTTTTTTATTTTATTTTCCAGTTTAAATTTAGATAAGAAACGAGGTTGCTTCACAAGTCAGTTCCAGGTCCCTCTCCCATTCCCTCCCCTCCTCCCGTGCCCTCCCCCCAAACCTCCCCCCGTTATCCCCTCATTCCCCCAGGGAGGGTGCGGCCCTCCATGGGGGTGTCGATAGTCTGTCATTTCATATAGGGCAGGTCCTAGACCCTCCCCCCAAGAGTTCAGGGTAAGAGTGCACCTCACATTGTTCTATGGGAATCCAAAGTCCGTGTGTATACTTGGGATGGGTACTGATCTGCTGCCCAAGGCTCAATAGATTCCCTAGGCCTCCTCACTGACACCCAGATTCAGGGGGTCTTGATCAGTCCCATGCTGGATTCCCAGGCTGATGCCTGGGATTCAAGAGTTAACCTTTGTCTGGTCAGCTGTTTCTGGGGGTTAAACCAAAAAAGGCAGGAAATGGAAAAAGAAACAAAGCACAAAATACGAGAAATGGAACAAAAAGCAAACCAGAAAAGATGTATTTCTTAAATGCAACAGAAAAATTGACCTGTTTTATAATCCAAACTTTGTCTGTGTTTTTTGTTTGTTTGTTTAAAACAAATACAAGCTTGTTTTCATGTCAATCCCAATTCCCTCTCACTCCCCTCCTATATAGCACCCCACTGACCACCCCATCACCTTTCTGCTCCCCAGGGAGGGTGAAGCCTTCCTTGGCAGATCTTCAAAGTCTATAATATCATTTGTAGAATGGTCTAGACACACTCCCATGTGTCTAGGCTGAGAGAGCATCCCTCTATGTGGATTGGGCTCCTACAGTCCACTCATATACTACAGATAAATACTGGTCCACTACAAGAATCCCCATAGAGTAACTAGATCTCCAAAATGACATCCTCATTCAGGGGGTCTGGATCATTCATATGCTGGTTTCCCAGCTATCAGTGTAGGGTGCAAGAGCAACTCCTTATTCAGGTCTCCTGTTTCTGCAGGTTTCTTCTAGCCTCCTCCCTTTCTTCAACTGGATTCCAGTGTTCAGCTCAGTGTTTATCTGTGGGTGTCTCCTGCTTCCATCAGCTACTGAATGAAGGCTCTACGATGGTATATAAGGTAGTTATCAATCTCATTATTGGAGAAGAGCTTTTAAGGTAGCCTCTCGACTATTGTTTAAATTGTTAGTTGAGTTCAACCTTGTGGATCTCTGGACATTTCCCTAGTGCCAGATTTCTCTTTAAACTTATAATGGTTCCCTCTATTATGGTATCTCTTTTCTTGTTCTCCTCTATTCTTCCCCTGACTCTATCTTCCTGCATTTTCATGTCCTCTTCTCTACTACTCTTCTTCCCTTCTCTTTCTTCTAACTCCCTATGTATTCCCACTGTGCTTCCAATTAGCTCAGGAGATCTTGTCCCTTTCTTTTGGTCTTTATTAGGGAATTGAAACCACTGATGTTTAGAGATATCAATGAGCTGTGTTTATTGACCCCTGATATTTTATTGCTGTTGCTGCTGTGTTGGGGCCTGCTGCTGATGTGTGTGTGTGAGAGAGAGGTGGAGGGGATACAGAGAGGGACAGAGACAAGTGAGAGAAAGAAAGTCTCTCTGCGTGTTTTGTGTGTGTGAGACAAAGTGTTTCTATGCGAATGGGTGTATCTGGATTTGTATGTATATGTGTGTGTGTTTCGCTTCTCTTCTTATTTGTTGGCACTTTTATTTATTTTTTCTCAATATATATGTTTTATTTAAATTAGAAACATGAATGTTTCACATGTCAGTCCTAGCCCCTCCACCAGTCCCCCAGCCACCCACCCAATCCCCATATCATTCCACAGGGAGGGTGAGGCCCTTCTTTGTAGCTTTTATTATCTTTCTTTGTCCTGTACATTTATTGTTTTGGATATTACCTATAGGGGAGTATTTCTTTGGAGTCTAGTATATTTACTGTTCTCTGTACTTGTAACTTGACAGGCATCTGCTTATTTAGTTCAGGGAAATTATATCCTATGACTTTGTTGAAAATTTAAAGATGATCCATGGATACAGATTCATAACCTTGTGCCAATTTCCTGGCTGGATCTGCAGTTGGTAATTCCTTCCCCTGGAAGTTCTACAGAGTCTAAGGTAACACAGGCCATATATAGGAATACCAGAGACTAAGCCATCCTAATGTCACATATTGAGGCTAAATCTCACATGAAAGATGTATAAAAAAAGGGAAATAATATGGAAAATTTAAATTTCAGATCTAAACAACAGCAATAAAAATAACCTGACTCAGGATTTTCAGGTAAACAATAATACTGGGCAGCTATAAACCATCCACTGCCTTTTGCTTTGTCCAATAATCTCAACTGAAGACTAGATGAAAAGAGTCCCAGTGATCTGTGACAGTGTCAGAATTTTCCTCTTTTATTTTTCTTTATGTATGCTGGCCAGACCACAGCACGCACAGGGACATTTGTAAAATATTGTAAGATGCAAGGACACAAGATGAAGAAAGATCTATGTAAATGACATGGATGTCATATTGTTTTAATTAATTTTATTTAAATTAAAAACAATCTTATTTTATATACCAATCCCAGTTCTCTCTCCCTCCCATCCTCTGATAATTCAGTCTTTTGCTGGTTCCCCAGCTGTCAGTCTGGAGTCTATAAGTTCTGATTTGCTCAAGAAAGCTGTTTCTGTGTGTTTCCCCAGCATGGTATTGACCCCTTTGCTCATCACTCCTACCTATCTACAACTGGATGTCAGGAGTTCAGCTCACTACTTAGCTCTGGGACTCTGCTTCTGCTTCCATCAGCAACTGGATGGAGGCTCTATGATGACATTTAAGGTAGTCATCAATCTCATTGGTGGGTAAGGGCATTTATGGTAGCCTCTCCACTATTATTTAGATTCTATGTTGGGGTCATCCTTGTAGATTCCTGGTGATTCCCTAATGCCAAGTTTCTGGTTAAGCTCATAATGGCTCCTTCAATTAAGGTATCTCTTTCCTTGTTCTCCTTTTCTATTCTTCTCCCAACTTGACTTTAATGATTCACATGTTCTCCTCCCTCTTCTCCTTTTCTCCTCCTCTTTCTAGTACCTCCTTCCACACCCATTTTCACCCTATTTACTCAGGAGATTTTGTACCTTTCACATTCTCGGGGGTCCAAGTATGTCTAGCTTCTCTGGGGTTCCAGATTGCAGACTCATTATCCTTTGCTTCATGTCTAATATCCACTTATGAGTGAGTACAAATCATATTTTTCTTTCTGTGTGTGGGTTACCTCACTCAAGATGGTTTCTTCTTGTTCCATCGATTTGCATGCCGATTTTGAGATTTTTTTCTTATGAGTATTTCTTCATTTTGTAAATGTATCATCTTTTCTTTATCTATTCTTTTGTCGAGGGCCATTTGGGTTGCTTTCACATTGTGGCTATTACAAATAATGCTACTATGAACATAGTTGTATAGATGTACATTTAAAAATGGGTATAGATCTAAATAGATCTTTCTCAATAGATGAATCTCCAATGGATGAAAGGCACTTATGAAAGTACCCAACATCCTTAACCATCAGGGAAATGCAAATCAAAGCAACTCTGTGATACTATATTAAACCTTTCAGAATGGCTAAAATAAAAAAAAAACAAAAATGACAGATTATGCTGGAGAGGATTTGGAGAAATGGGAACACTCCTCCATTTCTGGTGGGAATGCAAACTTTTACATCCACTTTGAAAATCAGTGTGGGGGCTTCTCAGGAAAATGCTAATTAGTCAATCTCAACATCCAGTAATTCCTCTATTATGCATACTCAAAAGGATTTATGTTCATATCACAAGGACATTTGTTGAACCACGTTC